GTCCCGCGGGCCCCGATCCCCGCGGTCCGCGCTGTCGCCCTCCGCGGGCCGCCTGGGCCCGAATGGTGCCGGAGAGCGGTTCGAGCGACTCCGCGCTGCTGCGCACCCTGGGTATTGTCCTAGGAGCTTCGCGCAGAGCTACAGGCGCAAGCAACGGAGGAAACGGGAACCTTAGGAACTCCCACGACTTCTTTTCTTTTCTTTTTTAATTTTTATTTTTTTTTCCGGTACCGGGAATCGAACTCACGACCTTGCGTTTGCCAGGCAGGCACTGTGCCGCTGAGCTAAATCCCCAGCCCCGCTTCTTTTCTTTCTCTTTTTCTCTTTTTTGTCTTTTTGAGACTGTGTCGCTATGTGGTTCAGGCTGGCCTTGAGCTCACTGTAGCCCAGGCTGGTGTCGAACTCGCACGATCCTCCTGCCTCAGCCTCCCGAGTACTGGGATTACAGGCATGCGCCACCACACGCGGCTATCATTTTTTTTGAGACCGGGTCTACTTTGTAGTTCACGGTGGCTTTGAAGTCACTGTATATCACAGGCTGGCCTCCAATTCACAGCGATGCTCCTGCCTCAGCCTTCCCAGAGCTGGGATTTCAAGCCTGTGCCATCACGCCGGCCGTCCCATGATTTCTTTAACCAAAGCTAGAAGTAAAAACAGAAAGCAAACCCACCACTGTGTCACTCTTCAGCCTCTCTGTTTTCATATTACAACTGTGATTTCCTAGTGCCTACAACTGCCTGTTGAGGGAAAACTTAATTTATCTTACACAATTGCTTTGTGTGCTTATAATAATTTCCAATGGGGAATTTTATCAAAGGCTGTAGATGTCTGTCTACCCACGTATTGGGTCTTTTCCAACTAAATAAGGAATCAATCGCTCTTTTTTTTTTTTTTTTTTTTTTGAGATAGACTCTCCCCATGTGGTTCAGGCTGGCCTTGAACTCACTGTGCAGCCCAGGCTGGCCTTGAACTCAGAGCTACCCTCCTGTCTCAGCCTCCTGAGTGCTGGGATTGCAGGTGTGCACCACCACAGCTGGCCCCAACAAATCGATTTCTCTCCTTTTTCCTAAATAAAAAATCCAGGATAGCTATTGAGAAAGCCAGGGAACTAAAAATACTATCCTCCAGTTGTGTTTTGTTTACAAGTGTTTGCTAACTTGCAGTTGTGCTGTACCTTTCCTGAAATTTGCTCTGAAGGTTGTTCCAAGCTGTGAGTTTACTGTTTCAGCACTGGGAGGCAGTGTTGTACCAATGCATGAACCTGTACTTCGGGAAGGCTCTTCTCCCTTCCTTTCCTGCCTAGCTGTGGGCCTTTGCCGAGTCACTTCAGGCTCCACTTCAGAAGGGTGTTGTGAGAATTTTTGAGGTGAGGGACAATAACCAGGGTGCGCAACAGCGCAGAGTCACTAGGAATCACTCTCTAGCACCATTCGGGCCCAGCTAACATCTTTTGACATTTAGCGCAAATATGGTTCTGAGCCTTTTACATGTTCTGTCTCCTTCGGGGGTTGTAGCTGTTGTTACTTTCTCCATTTTGCAGATGAAAGAACTCAGGCCCTGAAATTTCCTCGATTTGTAAAAGGGTCCTAAATTAATAAATTCAAGATTTAATAATTCTACATCACTGTTAGAATGTACGTAATTAGCTAGGTGTGGTGGTACACATCTATAATCGGGTCACTCCAGAAGCTGAGGCAGGAGGATCACCATGAATTGAAGGCCAGCCTGGGCTACATAGTGAGACCCTATCTGAAAACACTAAAAAAAAAAAAAATAAAAATAAAACCCCAATTCATAGGATTTGTGATAATTAAATGAAGTAATGTATAAAAATGTCCTCAGCACAGCACTTGATATACCTTAAGCAAAATACTCTCCCCCCCCCCTCCCCCGAATTCCACATGGCCTGCTCTCTGTCTTCCTTCAGATCTGAGAGGTCCCCTTCAGGGTAAGCCCTTTCCTCGGCCTTCAGTTTAAAACTGCATAAAGTGCCTCCCCTACTTTTGTTATTCTCTGCTCTCTAACCCTGCTTTATTGTCCCTATTATTCTAGTTACGGCCTAGCATACCCCATGCTTTGCTTATTTATTTGCCGGCTGCCTCAGTTTCCTCATCTGTAAAATGGGGGGAATGTTGATCATCATGCTTCCTTCATCCTTACCTCATTCATTTTTTTTTGATACAGGGCTATCCCTGTGTTGCCCAAGCTGGCCTTGAACTCCTGGACTCCGGTGGTTCCCCTGTCTCAGCCTCCCAAGTAGCTAGGGTTAGTTAGACACATGCTCCACACACCTAGCTCCTCAGGGGATATTTTGACGATCTAATGGGTTAATAGAGAGCTTTTAGAACAGTGTCCAACGTGTGAGGCGTTGTGTCTGTGTTAACTGCTGCGGCTGTTTCCTTATTAGAAGCAATGTGGGGATAGTGGCAAGTACTTCTTTAGCACAGAAAAGCCGGGTGGGGGCTGCTTTCAGTTCGTGGTTGCCCAGGGACCCCAGTTTCAGCAGTGATGGGGGACGCCCGGTGGGTAAGACGTGCAGGCCCTGGTCTATGAAACGCTTCCCAGCACCAGCAGGATGTTCTGACTGCGTGCGCAGTCCAAGGACCTGACTTCGAAGACAGAGCCCACACAGCTCCCATCCGGGCCTCACACATCCGGCCAGTGCCAGGGCACAGGGTCAGGGCTCCAGAAGCGGTTGAAAATCCCGCCGGCTGCCTGCTGAGTTGTGGCGGTGGGCTGGAAGCGATGACGGCAGAGGGCACGGGGCTGTGGGGACGTGCTGTGTTGACTTAGCCCCACTTTGCATGGTGACACTCTCGCCAGTCGGTGTGTCCTGGAGTCACTGTGACCCACGCACCGTAAATTACCGCCTTCGCATTCCAGTTTGTCGTGGATGAGTGATTTACTGCGCACAAGCGAGCACTTTACATCCAAAGGGACCATATTTTTCTCATCATGCACCATTCATTTTTGAGTGCTCACTTATTATAATTATTTGCTTTTCAAGCCTGTGCCACACACGTCCACACCCAAACACTCTAGGCTGCAGTTTGCCCGGAATCAAGGATACAGATCCTTGTATTCCAAGCAGTATCCATCTTACCTTGGTTCATTCATTCGCTAATAAGAATTAAGCACTGGACAGCTGGGCGTGGCGCACGCCTGTAATCCCAGCTCTCAAGAGGCTGAGGCAGGAGGATCATTGTGAATTAGAGACCAGCCGGGGCTACAAAGTGAGCTCAAGGCCAGCCTGAACTGCATAGCGAGACCCTGTCTCAAAAAGACGAGAAAAAAAAAAAAAAAAAAAGAATTAAGCACTGGTATGTGCCAGGCTGATAATTTCTTTTCTTCATGGAGCTTACACTTGAGAGTCTAGACTGAGATTGTTTGGCTAAGTGCGCAGCTCAGTGGTGTAGCGCTTGCGTGAGGCCTTCATTCCATCGCCATCACTGCCCAAAAATGCAGCAACAATAACAACAGCAAAGGACTCATTTTCTTCACATGGGTTGTAATTTCATCATGGAGTACACCACAGGGGCACCCAGATAATCTGATTCTAATGATAGCAGTGTAGGATGTCGCTCTAACCTCAGGGGCGTTCCCAGCCAGCCAGCCAGCCCAGCTTTCTGTAAGTCACTGATGCTGAGGTGCCCAGGGCAAATCAGCCTTTTCCAGGAACCAGTAACTGTACTTCCTGGTGAGTGGCCTGCCCTCACTGTGGAGCACTGGCTCTGTCCTCCGTCTTGCCCGTGTCTGGCTGCAAGCCCCGAGGATGCTCGCCTCGGTGCAGCCAGGGGGGTGGTGAGCCAGGGCATTTCACACCAGAGGGAAAGAAGTCTTTTCTTCCGGGATACCCATTCAGCCTTGGCCTGGGGATGAACTCAGTAGCTCCAAGTCCTTTAACTCCTAGTAAGATGGCGGTTTTTGCCAGCAGGCTAATTATATGTTTATACAGTATAATATAATAGCCCCTCAGAGCGTGCAGAATCACCTCCTGTGTGTACAGTAGCAAATAATTAGTTTTACTGAAATGGGTCTGATCACTCCAGGTCTGGTCTTGAAGAAGTGAGGTGTTGGGTATGCATTTTAAGTGCCTTAGAAATGAAGGTGTGCATGTAGAACCTTTCGTCTAAGCAGATGAGGATAGGTTTGGAGCCTTCGGGAGAGAATTAGGGAAGCCAGGTTTTTAAAAATGGAAATTGGGATATCTGGTGTGTGTGTGTGTGTGTGAAAGAAAAGAGGAAAGGGCGGGAGCATCTGAGGTCCCAACAGGAATATCTGCTGTAACAATACTTACTGACAAGACAGTAGGCTGCAGGTAGGAGATGTCGATTAGCCTGATAATAGTTCATCTTCCAGTGACATTGGCTGCATATGAAGTGAATTATCATTGTCCCCAAAACGGAAGGAGGCAACATAGAAGTACGTCTTGAAGGGGCTGAGACACTAACGAGTGTTACTGACAGTACTACCCGCAGTATCTCTGGAATCAGCCACCCTTCTGGAAACCATTGAAATAAAAGCTCCTAGGATAATTTAATTTTACCCAGGGATTAGGATTTTTTTTTTTTTAAAGTGCTGAAGATTGAACCCAGGGCTTGGCATGCTAGCAAGGCCTTTACCACTGAACTACATCCCCAGACCGAGAAATGCAACTTGAAAATAAGTTTTAAGCATGTTAAGTATTTTGACCATCTGCTTTGTGAAATAAAAAGTTGAGATTACCAGTTGGTTTCTAGCTGAACTCTAACAAGCTTACATATATTTATGTACTGATGGGTAGAGCTTGAATCTCAAACCACCTGACCTTTTCTCCTTTGTGTGGGACAGGACCTGTTTACACTGGGCATGCAAACGCAACCACGGTCAGGTGGTCTCTTACCTGCTAAAATCCGGAGCCGACAAAGAGATTCTGACCACCAAGGGGGAAATGCCGGTACAGTTAACATCGAGGAGAGAGATCAGGAAGATCATGGGAGGTGAGTCCGAGTTTGGGGGGACATTTGATTTTGACAAACTAACTTAAGGCTCGTGGTATTATCGGCCACATTCTTGATGCCGGGCAAGCAACTGGTGTATCCTCAAAACTAATTATCGTGTTTAGGTAGTAATTCCATAGTATTTCTCAGGAGGTCAGAGTTATAAGGTTTCTGTTTGGTTTTGGTCTTGGTAAAATTGAAGATAATGATAAAATATAAACCTAACAAAATATTCTTTCTCCTTCTGACCTGAAAAGCAATAAACTCTAACCAAAATATTTCTTACATCCTAAAGGACACAGCTTTCAAAAGATTTTTTTCTTGTTTTGGTAGTTTTTAAAGTGCTGTGCAAACATTCTGTGTTTTCTTCTCTTGAAGCGGAAGAAGATGATGAGGGTGACAGCCTCCCCCAGCAGAAGGAGTCAGATCTGCCCTTTGTTCCCAACTACTTGGCGAACCCGCCCTTCCCCTTCATCTACACCGCCGCGGCCGAAGAGTCAGCCCCGCTGCAGAACGGGGGCCCCTCCACCCCTCCAGCCTCCTGTCCCGAGGACAGCTCCCCTGCGATGCTGCCCCCCGGGGAGCCCTCCCTGCTAGGGGCCTTTCCTCGGGACCACACTTCTTTGGCACTGGTGCAGAACGGCGACGTGTCTGCCCCTTCTGCCATCCTCAGAACACCAGAAAGCACAAAGCCGGGGCCTGTTTGTCAGCCACCCGTGAGTCAGGGCCGCTCCCTGTTCTCCTCTGTCCCATCCAAGCCACCCATGGCTCTGGAGCCTCAAAACGGGGCATTCACAGGACCGGCGCCAGCCTTCCAGCCATTTTTCTTCACTGGAGCGTTTCCATTCAGTATGCAAGGTGAGGCCTTGCCTGCGAAGTCTCTGCAGCGGGGGAGTCGGGCTGGGCGCTGAGAGCTGCTTATGTATTTGATGTCTAATGCAAACTTAAAGAAGGGTTGCAGGGCCTGTGGAAGGAAGTCCTTTTACTCAGATTTAGAAAGTGTGTTTCCCTTTTGTTCTTCTACCCTGAAATACTGAAGTATTGTTCCTATTGTGGTTTTATTGGAAACAAGGATATTCTTTTATATAACTTCAGTACAACTATCAAATTTAGGAAGTATGTCAGGTGTGGTGGTACACGCCCATAGTCCTAGCTACCCAGGAGGCTGAGGCAGGAGAATGGCTAGCCCGAGTAATTTAGAGAGAGCCTATTTCACAATAAAGAAAATTTTTAAAAAGGGTTGGGGGTGTAGCTCAGTGTAAGGCCTTGTATTTAGTTCTCAGTAAACACACATATACACATACACACTCACGTTTTAAAAATGTAACTTTGATGTGAATCCTAATACTCCGAACAGTAAGGCAGGAAGATCAAATTTGAGGGCACCTTGTGCTATATATGAGTTGAGTGCTAGCCTGGACTACATGGCAAGATCCTTCTGCCTCAGCCTCCTTAGTACTGGGATTATAGGAGTGTACTACTATACCTGGCCCATATTCAGGTTTTGTCAGCGGTCCCAACAGTGCCCTTTGTGTGTGTGTGTGTGTGTGTGTGTATGTGTATGTGTGTGTGTCTGTGTCCCCACTGCTCCTGCTTCTGGCCCAGGTCACTCACTCACTGTGTGCAGTTATCCACCTGTCTGTCTCTTTCAATCCAGAATGATCTCCATCCTTTCTCTGCCCTTACCTGCTCCATATTTTTAAGGGTTCAGGCCAGTCATTTTGTAGAATATGATCTTCTTTTTTGCATTTTTTATTTTATGGTACATTTAAGATATATATATATATATATATATAATATCACACTCATCATAGAGAATTTGTACAGAATGTATCTTGTTGCTGCTTTTTTCCCATTCCCCTCCCCCCACTTCAATGCCATTCCCCTCCTTATTTATAAAAGCTTTGTTTCTATTTTTTCTTCTATTCTCTTTTTTTCTTGTCCCTTCTTTCAGAATATGCTCTTCTGTTGTTTTTTTTTTTTTTTTTTGGTTTTTTTCCGGTACCGGGAATTGAACTCATGACCTTGCGCTTGCCAGGCAAGCCCTGTGCCGCTGATCTAAATCCCCAGCCCCTTAGAATATGCTCTTGTATCATTCCTTGTCTACTTATTAGGTGGTATTTCATTGTAAAGAAGGGCTTTCCCTTCCCTATTTATATTAATATGGGACTCAGGGATTCTTACTCGCTGGGCTTAATCTGTTCCTACTGTTAGTTTGATATTCAGATTATTCCTGATTTGGGCAGTGGAAGCCCCCTCAAGCTAGTTCTTATATCTCTTGGACACATCTCCATCACTCCTGGGATACTTCTTCGCTTTCTAGTTCAACAAGACGTTCCAGCCTCATAGTGTTAACTTCCCTTGCCCCTGCCCCTGGCCTGGAATTAGCCGTCTCTCTAAACAGCCCTAGCTTTTTTGATAGAGAATAGTATTTAGAAACCAGGATGTGGGTACCAGGCATCCTCATTCCTATAGGTATGTCATTTCTTTTAGGCTAACACAGAAGACTGAGCTAGGAAAGAAAGAAAAAGCAAGCCAGGTGTGGCGGGGCACACACCTGTAGACCTAGCATTCTAGGAGGCTGAGGCAGGAAGATTGCAAGTTCAAGCCCAGCCTGGGCAAGTTAGCAACTGAGTGAGACCCTGTCTCAAAGTGAAAAGTTTGAAAAAGGTCTGTTGATGTAACTCAATGCAAAGGCCTGGGGTTCAATCCTCAGTACTGGGTTCCACCCTCAGTACTACAAAAAAAGCAAACAGATAAACATGATTCATATATACATGTACACAGTGTTTCTATCTACTTATCTGTATCATTTTTAGGAACACTAGAAACCACAGATCATCCCGATGGCTCCAATTCCAAACAAACACCACAAGGTACAGCCTGGTCTTTCCTTTCTCCCGCAGTCTTCAGCCCTTAGTTCCAAGGACAGAAGCGAACGACCCTTCACACACTGGGACGGTTACCCGGACCGCTTTGCTCCAGGAGCCGCAGCCTTAGGTGCAGGGCAGACGGCTCAGGAGACTGCTGCCACAGAGCCAGGGTGGGTCCCAGCAAACTTTACAGATCTTTGGCCCTGGCAGGATTAAGAGCAGTCGGCTCCTGGAAAGCACAAGTTACCTGGGCTGTGCCAGGCCAGATGATTTATTACCATTTCTCCTTCTTTCCCAGAGCTGGTACTTAAGGTGAGGATTCAGAACCCATCCCTGCGAGAAAACGATTTCATTGAAATTGAACTGGACCGACAGGAGCTTACTTACCAAGAGCTACTCAGAGTGAGCTGCTGTGAGCTGGGCGTCAATCCAGACCAAGTGGAGAAGATCAGAAAGCTCCCCAACACTCTGCTGAGAAAGGTAGGATGGTGCTGATCTCAAGAGGCTGCTTTTGCATTGAGAAAATACCTAACTTCCTCCTTGGTGCTCTGAGTCATAGTTGAAAAAATGAAAAAAGAATAGGAAAGGAGCACAGTGGTTTTCCAAGTGGAATTAGAAGCGGTCTTTCCCTCCACTGAGTCATAGAGACGCTGGCAGTTTTGAAAGTTGTAAGGTTCGGGAGAGAACGTTCTGCATTTCCACTCACGTGTACCTATTTTCACTCGCTTCTTTAGGGATTACCTTGTGGATGACTTTGCACCATTAATGTGCTTGGTGTTTTACAAGATAATATTCAAGTTAACTTGTAGGGCAGACCCGTGTGGGTACACATGTGGTTCTCCCTTCTGAACATCAGGTCGGCTCACCTGGGCCCCTGCTGAAAATCGACCCAATCATCGCCTGTTCCTTTGAGGCCCGTGCTCCTGCTGTAGCAGTGGCTGTTCAGGCCTCCACCAGCCCAGCCCAGCTCGTGCATGGGGGCTTAGTCAAGGACTTCTGCCATAGGATTTTATTTTCCCTTGAGATGTTGAAGTGAGCCAGTCTCAGAGCAGCCCAGCAAGCATATGCAGATGCCCAGCTCCTCTTAACCTGCTAACCTGTTTTGTTTCAGGACAAAGATGTTGCTCGACTCCAGGATTTCCAGGAGCTGGAACTGGTTCTAATGATAAGTGAAAATAATTTTCTGTTCAGAAATGCTGCCTCCACCCTGACTGAAAGGCCTTGCTACAACAGGAGAGCTTCCAAACTGACGTACTAACGCGGCAGGGACTTTTATCACTGAGTAGTGTGACAGTGCATGTCACCTCTGGGCCAAGGACAAGCCATTGATCCAAAAACCTCGATGCCCCGAGGGCCCCTGGTGCCACCGAGTAGTGTCACTAACACCATTCTGCCAGGGCAGGAGGCCCCAGCCTAACCCGCAGCGGTGCCACGCTTCCAAGCCTCTTGGTGCACAACAGACCTATCCCTTGAAACAGAACAGCTGGCAGGCGGCCCGGGGACCGCAGTGAGCTCCTCCAGCCGGCGTGCTTTCTGTGCGGAAGGGAGGCAGGTGCGCTGACCCAGGGAGCAGGGCCCGTGTCCCGGCCCTGTGCACGGCACACTGCAGGGCTGGGCTCGCTGCCCTGGGCCCTCCGAGGTGCACGCTCAGGACGCTCCTGAACCTGAACCCACCGGCAGGAAGGTGGGGGAAAGCACAGGCACTGGCCAAAGGGCTGAGTGGGACTTGTGGCTGTGAGGTTTCCTCTGACGTATTTATAAATGTTACTCAGGTTAAAGTATTTAAGAGTACAGTTACCTAATTGTAAATAGGCTGTTAACCAAAAGAGCTCCCCTCCCCGCTTCTCCTGGGTGACCCCTCAGCCTGCTTCTGTCCCCACAGTCATCTCTGCATTGTCTCCCCACCACCGTCGCTAGAGGGCTCTCTGGCGCGCTCCAGAGGAGCCCCGCCGTTCACTCTGAGGCCGTTCCTGCACTGACGTGTTTATTGCACCGCTGGAGAAGAGCACAAACATTGCCAGTCTTGCTCCCGACTCTCATCTCCCACTAGAAGTGAAAAGCAGTTTTTGAGCCTGAATCTGTTGCTATTTTAAAGGTTATTGTAGGAAACTGAGCTAAAGGAGTCAGCATCTTTATTTTTGTATCAGAGATAAAGGTTATTTTGAAATTATTAGGATTTTTACACAACTCTGAAATCTGTTGCTTTTGTAAACCAATTGTTTGATCTTCAGGACTCCTCACAGCTCCCCGCACCACTCAGGCGAGGTGTGAGTCTACCAGACCTAAACGAAGGCCGGAACAAACACCCGCTCAGACCCTCAAGCGTGGCAGAACAGTTTTTTCCAAGAGTGCATTCAAGGATTCTTTCCCTTTTCTTCAGTGTCGTTCACGTTACAGGAAGCCAGTGTCTGCTGAAACCAACAGCTTAGCCTTAGAGGTAGGAGCCCAGACAGATGCCCAGGAGAGCGGGTCAGAGCCTGCTGAGGAGAAGCAGCCCTGCTGTCTTAAGAAGCTCTCTCCCCATAGTGCCTATAGTTTCCAAAGAAATGGAACTTCCTGTTAATTTTATTAGAGCACTGCAGTTAGCGAGAACATGCAGAAGATGTCACGGAAGAAACTGTTGTGCTAAGATGATGGCTTCCTGCTGCTGCCTGAATGCCGCCGGGAGGCTGAGGTGTTCTTCCAGGCCAATTGCTCCAGCCACTTTGCTTAGTGACTTAATTGTGTCCCACCGGCTCCTGCTGGTGACCCACTCGTGCTGGGAGTGTTTGCCTCGCAGAGTGAAGGTTGCTTGTCACCCTCTCCTCTCCAGTGCTTTGAGGAAGAACCCTGTCTTGTGTTCCATCCAATCAGAAACTACTTTATCTAGGCGTACTGACCTTTTTTTTTTTCCTTTGCTTTGGAAAAAAGTCACAGTTTACTAATACAATTAAGTGTGGGTCTACCCTGGAAGAAATAAATTCAGTATTAATTCATGTCTAAATTACTGAGGTTCCACTCTTTGAGCCGCCTCGATTAATCAGAGACTCCTGGGAGCAGCTAGGCGCCTGGCTGGGAGGGGGCCGCGGAGGGGGCCCAGGGCGTTCCCCGGCTCGGGCGGAGGAGGACTGGTGTCCCGGGTGAGAGTGGGGCCCGGCTGTGTGTGCCCGTGCGTGTCCCGCTCTTGCCTCCAAGCCTGTGTAGTCGCTGGCAGTGGGATGAGACTGCACAGTTGCCGGGAGGTAAATCAGACGTCTTAATCTATGCATTCAGAGAAATATTTTTATATGCTTTGTGTAATTTCTAACGACCTTTTGTTAGGTTTGTTAACTGAGCTCGCCCCTCTCCACCTTGTTTAAAGCATGTGTTCACACTGTGTGTAAACATTCCTAGGAGATTCTTTTCTTTGTGCATTGCTAACTCCTCAAACAGGGCAGATGTTATTAAAGTTAAATATTAACCGACCCAGCCCATTTTTTTTCATTTTGGCCTCCTAAACAGCTTTATTCTCATCACAGGGGTTCAGGTTGCTGTAGGGTCCCAGGAACCTGGCGCTTGGAGGAAGAATCGCAGGGCCATCCCCACCTAAGCCGCCTCCACACCAGTCTGCAGTGGCGCTCAGGCCCTGTCAGTGGCACCTGGGGACAGATATTAGTGTCGCTTTTATTTACTGGAGTAGCTGAGCCGGCTCTGCGGAGGTCATCCCCTATTAACCACATTTTCTGACTATCTTACTTCCATGACAACTGCACCTCTTCTTTGGGGCTGTCAGCACCTGTCAGGGCTTCAGTGAGCTCCGAAGCGAACCCCCAGATGGGAGAGGAGACAGCCTCACACCTCAGACCCTCAGCAGAGTGGTGCCAAGCGATCTGCTGTCCTGTGGTTCAGGCCAGCTCTCCGCACAGAGCGGACGTCACGCCAAATGGGCCTAATAAATCAGAACCGAGCAGAGACCTTTTCTTAGCACCAAGGAGAGGCAGAATAATTTGGGCATTGGTGCTTTCAGACTTGCCTTATCACAAGGATGGAAGTCGCATTCCATGTCCCCATAAACATTCCGGGCAGAAACAGCCTGCCAAAAAAATGCGATTAACCTTTAACAAATGGCCCTGCAGCACAGGCCGACCCAGAGCACAGAGAAAAATCAGATCAAAGGGGTCATCTCCACATCTGCAGACCGCTGAGGGTGGAGAGAGAAAACAGCAACCATCACCCACCAGAAGCTGTCACACCAGACCCGGGACGGAGGGGTAGGAGACGGGGGTGGGCGTGGGGGGGTGTAAGACCAGGAGAGCAGGAAGGTGGGTGCGGTGACAGAGAACGCTGTATTCCAAATAGAAGTCCTGCTGCCAGCTGGACCCTGACCTGTAGAAAATGAAAAACTTGGCTTGCTGGAAAATCGAACCTAAGGCAGGCATGGTGAGGCACACCTACAATCCCAGTCCTCTGAGAGGCTGAAGCAGGATTGCGAGTTGGAGCCCAGCCTGGGGAACTCGGAGAGACTTTGTCTCAAAATAATAAAAAAAAAAAAGGGCTGGGGATGTAGCCCAGTTATAAGGCCCTGGTTCAGTCCCCAGTATGTACTGAAAATAAAAAAATAATAATAGCTACTCCTCCATCTCCTTTGCTAGCCGGGAAGTGGGGAAGGAACGGCTTGGGGCTTCTCTGCCCACGTATTCCTCTCAGTGGGACCGAGTACAGTGAGTGATCAGAGGCCCGGGCCCCTGTCGTAAAGAAGCGAGCAAGGAAAGCCCCAGCCCTCCTCAGGTCCTGGGGAGACAGTCGACAGGCGGAGAGGCGGGATGGCGGGAACGGGGCGTGTTCTCAGCGGCTTTCCCCGGAGGCCTCGGGTCAGATTTCAGGGCCTTTATTTCTCACCTCTTCACGGTATCTGCACAGCAGAGTGGAGAAGCTGGCAATTACCCAGTGAGTTTTGGCTGTGAAGACTGTATTTCCAGCCAAAAGCTTTGGGTCCGAACTCTGCGGGTGACTACAGCCGTATAGACGTGGGCGAAACCCTCGCCCTCTCCCCGCTTCTCCCTGTTCCTCCCTGCCTCTTCCAAATGCCCCAGTCCTCAAACCCCCTGAACAGGCAGAAAAGAGGCGACTCGGGTGTGTCTGTCACGGACCACACAGCTTGACTCGCTTAGCACTCATTTTCTTTTTCTTTTTTTTTGGTCTTTTTTTTTTAAAGACAAAGTCTTGCTGTGCAGTTCAGGCTGGCCTTGAGCTCACTTTGTAGCCCAGGCTGATCTCGAACACACAACGATCCTCCTGCCTCAGCCTCCTGAGTGCTGGGATTACAGGTGTGCGCCACCACACCCAGCTCAGCACTCATTTTCAAATGCCTTCAGGCAGCACCTGGAATACAGGACTCGGTTCCCAGGATGGTCTGACCCAGCAGCCTTCTGTTCCAGGAGGGAAATCTTTATTAAAAAATACTTTAGAAAATAAGAAAAATTAGAGGTAGGAGAGAGGTCACCCCCTGGAATGATTATTCAAAAACAGTGCAGTGTGGAAATAATGTTAGACTGGGAGTCTGGAGACCAGGGCTCCTGGGCTGTGGCTGGGGACGTCTCAGCCTCCCCTTGGGCCTCTCTTCCTCGCTTCCTTTGTGAGGCTCCTTCCAGAGACACCGTCTCACGTAAACCCCCTCCCTCCTCCTGCCATCGAATCTGTTCTGTGGACACATGGTATCGCTTCCCTTCCCGGAAATCCCGGGAATATATTTTAGGCAAGTCCCGCGTCCCTGGCCATCCCGTAGAAGATGCCTCTAGCTGCGATGAGATTGGTTGGAGAATCAAATTCAGCTGCTATGCCCTTGTCCAGGACGAGGACCCTAAGCAGAAAAGACAAAGAAATGGTCAGGTCTGCATCAGCCCAGGGTTCCCTGGGCGCTGAGGTGTCAGCCCACCCACTTCATCACACGCACACTTGCAGGCCTTTTTATTTTAGCCCTGCGCTTAACTCTCCCGACAAATGAAGCAGTTTCTGGGATCACACACAAGCTCCTATTCATCTTTGCTAGCCTGGGCTCCAAAAATCTTCTCTAATGAGCCCTTCCTGCACCAGGGTCACCAGGCTGCAGCAGGCTGTGCGCAGGGAGCCCCGGGCCTGTGCCCCGGCCCTGCGCATGCACCCACTTTGTGCCAGTGACAAAGGCACACGGCAGGAAACCGGCTGCAGCGAGGCCGGCGCTGGAATCTGGGGCTTGGGCTGCAGATCTGGCTGCGGCTGTGGGTGGGTCCTCCGCCACAGCGCACGGGCAGGCCTGGGCCTGGCTTTAGGCGCCTGTGCAGCTGGCACCGCCCAGGTGAGGCGGAGGACCAGGCCCTCCCCTGCCCGCAAAGCTGCTGCTATCTGGCTCCCCCGAAACTGTGCCAAGGGGGAGTCTGCGTCTAGTGCTGCCTGTCCACCGCCAAGCCGCAACCCAGGAGACGCCCCCCAAGCCCAGTCTCTAGTGGCTTCCCCTGGCTCTCAGGAGTGCCAGGTCCCCAAGGTGTCACCCACAAGCCTGTCCTCTCGCCTCTGCCCTCCGGCCCTGCGTGTCCCTGGCTTCATGGCGTGTGCTGCATCCTCTGTCAGAAGTGTTCAGGTCTATCCTTTCCTCATCGCCCGTCAACCCCTGGCTTACCCACTGGCTGGTGCTGCCCTTTCTCAGGAGAGTAAGTGCCCTCGCTGCCCCATGTGGCCCACACTCTCAGATCCCTGCCTCCTTCCCAAGGACTCTCAGTACAGGTTTGCAGCATGACTATTTGATCTATTTTTGCCTGTCCTACCAAATGAATGAACTCCCAGGCTCCGAGGTGGGCCTGAGTATCCTACCCTGGGACTGCTGGGAAGGAACCAGTTTTGGTCAGCTGGGAAGGGGTCCTCTCAGGCCAGCCCCATCCCTACTGCGGGCCCAGGGCCCAGCACTCCCTGTCCATCCCCTCTTCTCCGTCCAGTGGGGTCCTGAGGGGGAGTGGGGGTGGAGCTAGAATGACACAGAGCAGCCCAGGCATTCTCACTGGCCTCCAAAGCCCTGCTGGCTGGAGAGGACCGTACTGAGACAACCAGAAGGGAGCTGGAAGCTTTTAAGGGCAAGGCCCCTCACCTTTCTCTGGGGGACTAGTGCAATAAGGGCACCTAAAGGGGCTGGGGAGCAGTGACATTTCCCAAGGTCACCTGCGGTTCAAATCATTTCTTTTTTTCTTGTCTTTTTGAGACAGGGTCTCACTATGCAGTTCAGGCTGGCCTTGAACTCACATTGTAGCCCAGGCTGGTCTCAAACTCGCAACAATCCTCCTGCCTCAGCCTCCCAAGTGCTGGGATTACAGGCGTGAGCCAGCCCGCCCAGCTCAAACACATTATTTCATTGACTCCCAATGATCATCTTAAGAAACATCATTTCCATTCCCAACATGCTCAGAGAGGCTTTGCAACTCGCTGAAGATCACACAGCAGTGAGCAGCTGCGTGGGGCCTGGGGCTTGGCCCTCTGGCTCAGACACAGCACCGTCCCTACCGCAAGGAATCCATCCTGATGGTGTTTGGGGTCCAGCTGCCAGGTGTCTCTTGCATGCTGGGCCACCTTCTCATCAGTGACCTGGTGGGGCCACTCTGTCACAGGGTAGTAGTGGGGGGCAAGGGGGCTTGTGAGCGGCCGGTGGGCATGGCGACCTTGTTCCCCTCACCTCATGCATCAGCAGGAAGCAGGCTGCAGATGACCTGTCACAAGCCCCCGGGCCTGGGAGCCCCAGGAGCCCTTCCCCGTGTGTTAGTTCCCAAGGGTCCCTTGTGTCTTGGAAAACATCACTGTTCCCTGCCCCGTGCAGGCAGCCCTGCTCTGTGCCAGCCCTCATCACGTCTCGGGCACCCCGCCCTGCCCCGTGCCTCAGGCCCACCTGGTGTAGTCCATGATCGTGTTGAGCCGGTGGGCGATGGTCAGCACAGTGCAGGTCTCAAACTGGGTGCGGATGGTGGCCTGGATGAGGTCGTCCGTCTCCAGGTCAACGGCGGCCGTGGCTTCATCCAGAACCAGGACGCGGCTCTTGCGGAGCAGGGCTCGCGCCAGGCATACTAGCTGCCTCTGGCCCACGCTGGGAGAGAAGCGGGCAGTTCTGGCTGGGTGCCCCGGCCCCCACCTTGCTCCTAGACCCCCTTCGGTCACCTCTCTTCCTCAGCAGCCCAGGACTGGCTGTCCGGCTCACCTCTCCCATTTCTGCCCCAGCCCAGCCCTCTTGGAATCCAGAGTAGAGGTCTGGGCTCCTCAGGGATAGCGAGGGGTGAAAAAGAACCAGTGGAAAACGCCACTGTGAAATCTATGGTCTGTTTTCGGAACCCCCAGCATCCACTTCTGCGTTTTCTTCCGTACACCTCCCTCCTGAGCTCATGCTATGATGCTTCCCGGCTTTACTCTATCGGTCACTTACACCTTAGTGAGAACGTGCTTGAATTGTTCGACTGGATATTTGCGTAGAAGCTACAGTATGCCTGAGCCTGCAGTGACACCTCACCACACCTCCCATCCCCGTGGGAGATACAGGCCAGGAAGGAGCAGGGATGGGGCGGGCGGAGGACTCCCCGTGTTTGCTTCCAGGGACCCAGGCGGGGAGAGGCGTAGCTTAAACCTCCTGCCTTGGACATCAGAGGCAGTAACAAAGCAAGGCTGTGTTCCCAACCGCAGAGGCCGCAGCACCCCCACCCCAAGGACAAATCCCTCAGCCCTTCCCAGAGGGGTGAGTCACCGCGGCCACGGGAAGGCCAGCCTCCCTCGCTGGCCCCGTCCCGAAGCTAATGAAGGTTTTGGCAGCAGAATGAGCAGCCAGATAGGACTCAGGCTGATTTATGGGGCGACTGGCACGGGATGCAGGTTTGGACTTAAAGTGGCCACAGGCCCGGCGCGGGAGGAGGGGAGCGACGCCTGTCTCCCGTTCTGCCGTGTATGCCTGTGTGTGTGTGTCTGTGTTGGGGAGGGGGCTACAGGGACGCTCCGGGAAAGGGCTAGGAGCACAAAGGACAGGAGCGTGACCAGGAGACGGCCCCGGGGTTGGGCGTGGAGCCCACACTCTCACCCGCCTGTCCAGGTGTGAGTGGTCTCACAGGGCCGCTGGGGGCAAATGCATCTGGGAAAGGCTTGGGACAAAACCCGCTCCTGGTCCCCCGCCCTGCCCCTGGCTGGAGCCTTGCTTCATACCATGGAGCCTTACTTCCGGCCCACAGGACTGCAGTAATGATTAAGCGAGATAGGGGCGGCCAAAGTATTCTGAACACTGTTCAGTGCGGAGCAAACGTAAAGTAATGTTCTTTGTTTTGATTTTTGAGGTTTTGGGGAGGTCTGTGAGGAGGGGCGGGTATGAAAATGAAAATGAAGGGCTGGGGTGTAGCTCAGTGAAAGAGCGCTTGCCTGGCATGTGTGCGGGCCTGGAGCCCGGCACCGGGGAGAGAGAGAGAGAGAGAGAGAGAGAGAGAGAGAGAGAGAGAGAGAGAGAGAGACACACACACACACACACGCACACGGAAAGAAGGAAAACAAGCAGGAAAGGCAGGAGAGGGAGAGGAACAGCTGGCATTTCATAGAAGCGCATCCAAGCTAAGTGCCTTTCATTTCCCTACCACGACCCGAAGCCTCCCACGCTGGCCACACGTGGCTACGAGCACCCGGATGTGGCTCGCCTGGGCTGAGGGTGCTGCTAGGAAGTGTAAGGTGCACACAGGGTTTCAGGCTCCCATGGAAATAAGCAAAATGGCCTAAGGACTTGGACAGCGTGATGTGCCTAAATGGTGACATTTTAGATGCACTGGGTTAGATAAAACATAATTTTAAAATTTATTTCACCCATTTTCCCTGTTTTACTCTTTCCCTTTCCTTCTCTGCTTCCTTCCTTCCTTGCCCTTTTTTAAGAGACAGCAACACACTATGCAGCCCAGGCTGGTCTTGAAGCAGTGCTCTTGCCTCAGCCTCCCAAGTAGCAGGGACAACAGGCATGAGCCGCTCCACCCACCCCATCTCTCTCTCTTTTTCTTTAAATGTGGCTATTAGAATAAATTGTAATTACAGACATTTGGCTCCCATTGTACTTTTATTGGGCAGTGCAGTGTGCAGAGGTATGGGCTATTATTATCCCTATTTTAGGGTGAAGGGAGAGGAGGCACAGACAGCTTAAGCAACCTGCCCCAATTACACCAAATCACACAGCGCAGGGTGTAGCTCAGCAGTAGTGTGCCGACTAAGCCTGCATGAGGCCCTTGGTCCTTTTCCTAGAACCGGGAAAAATGTCATGCAGCTGACACAGGCCTGAGGATCTCAATCTTTAAACTTGGTAAGAGTGACTCCTGGCTGGGCACAGTGGCCTGGACCTGTCATCCCAGCACTCGGGAGGCTGAGGCAGGAGGATCTTTGTGAGCTGGAGACCAGCGCGGGCTACATAGTGAGTGCAAGACCAGCCTGAACTACATATGGAGACCTTATCTCCAAAAAATCAAAATAAAACCAAAAGGCCCCTATGCAGCCCTGGCTGAGATGGGAGTGGAGAGGGGAGGAGAGGAGGTAGCCTGGACTCTGTGTCATTTTGATACCAGGCCTTCCAGCCCCCACAGCGTCCCCAGAAGGGCCACAGGCCAGAGTTGTTACCTGAGATTCTCCCCGCCCTCAGTGCACTCGAAGTCTAGGCCTTCGGGCTGGGACCTCACAAAGCCCTGCAGGTGGGACAGCTCCAGGGCCCTCCAGATGTCCTCCTCCGAGTAGCGGCTGAAGGGGTCCAGGTTCATGCGCAGGGTTCCTGAGAACAGGATGGGCTCCTGGAGATACGACAGGGCCTGAGAGGGGCAGCTCAGGCCCCACAAGGAACCCTGGGCCCCAGGTGCAGGGCAAAGCATGGGATGAGGGTGGCAGTGTCCCCACTCTGTCCCCAGCCCTCCTGGAGGAAGACCAGGGCTAAGGAGAGAGAAAATGGCTTGCGGGGGAGTGATAAACCCCAGCTTTGCAAATCACTAAGTCCTCTGCTAGAGCAGGAGCCAGAGCCACTAATCTCACTCCGAAGTGTCCAGTCAGCAGAAATATATACCCCGAGGAGCCAGGAAAAGTGCCATGTAATCGTGAGCCTTGCAAGCAGGAGACCAGGACACAAGGTCTCGGGACAGGTGGTTGGTGGGGTCCTTGCTCCTTCTCTGCTGGCCCTGGACTGGGTGGCTCCTGGGAGGCCCAGCTCTTTGCTATGGGGGTCTGTCCCCCACCAGCCTCCAAGGCCAGGGTCCTTGGCTTCGTCCTCAAGCTACAGAACAGGGGACATTGCGCATGGCCCGGCTCGCACCTGGGGGATGATGGTCAGCTGAGAACGCAGGTCGTGGAGGCCAATGTCTGCCACGTTGAGGCCGTCGATGAAGATGTTACCCTCCGCTGCCTCCAGGATGCGGAACAGGCAGAGGGTCATGGACGATTTACCAGCTCCGGTACGGCCGACGATGCCCACCTGTGGGAGTGCGCTGTCAGGGGCAACTGGGTCACAGGGGCATCTCAGGTCTCCCCTAGGGGCTGAGGCAGCCTCCCCAGGCATGGGTACCTTCTCACCGCCGTGCACACGAAGACTCAGGTTCTTCAGCACCAGCTCCAGGCCCGGCCGGTACCGCACGGAGTAGTTCCGGAACTCTATCTCCCCATGCAGGGGCCAGCCTTCCGGGGGGCGGCTGCCTTCCACCACCCAGGGGGCCTGGTGGGGGTGGGTGGGACGGGTCTCAGCAGGGTGGCCCCTCCCCTGCCTCTCTGTCAAGGTCCCCTCTGTCCCTGTCATTGTGCCCGGAGTCCTTTCTCTCTCTTCTTTGCAGTGCTGGGGATCAAACCCAGGGCCTTGCACACACCAGGCAAGCGCTCCACCACTGAGCCACACCCCCGGCCTTATCTTCCTGACTTGTTTTCTGTGCCATAGCACGGAATTTGAGATCCTCCCGCCTTAGCCTCCCAGAGTGCTGGGTTACAAGGGCGTACCACCATCTCTCTGACTTTATTCCTGCCGAGCTGCTCCAAAACTCCCCATCCCGCCCCCAGCACGCCCTCCTCATGCCCCATGCTCCTGAGGTGCTCACTGCCTTCCCAAGCTTCTCCTTCCCTCACCTTAAACCATCTATCATTACTAAATGGGACTTGGCGCCAGGAAGCAGGACACAAGGTGTCCCTAGGAGACAAAGGTCTTGCCCCGGGAGATTACATTCTGGCCCAGGTGCTAGAATACACAAGCAACTCTACATAATATGAGGATTGATGGGTGCTGGGCTGCTTTGGGCTGTTCAGGGAAGGCTTCCTGGAGGAGGCGCTATTTAGTAAAGCCCTGCAAGGAAGGACAAGGCATGTGGGTAGCTGGGCACCAGGACTACAAGTGCAAAAGCCCTCCAGGGGTGTTCTGAAGCCCAGGGACCAAAGTGAGAAGCAGCAGGCTGAGCTAACGGGAAGGGACTCACAGGCCACTTCCAGGACTACGGCTTTACCCTAAGCAAGATGGAGAGCCATCAGGGCCATGCAGAGAGCAAGGGTAAGACCCGGTGCATTTGAAGGGAGGAGTAACGGGACCAAAGAGCAGGCTGCAGGAAGACAGACAGCGGGCTGCAGGAGGTCCCGGGAGCAGGCTGCAGGTAGCAAGTGAGATCCAGGGTAATGAGACAGCTGAGAGAGCTTGTGTAGAAGATGATTTAAAACAGGTTCACGACAGAGGAGAGCAGAGAACTGGGGCAGCAGGATGCAGGGGGCAGGGGGTGCTGGCGTGTGTGTCTAGAAGAGAAGACGGTAGAACATTTTCGCACATGGAGGGGAATTATCCAACAGAGGGAGCAAGACCGACACAATCGAGTCCTGGAGCAGCCACAGGAAGCAGCAGAGGGGCTGGAATACTGCGTGCTCAGAGAGAAAGGAAGACGGTTCGGGGACAGGGGCAGCACTGGGGCGCCGGGGGTGGCTGGCTGAGGGAGCGCATGTCTTCTAACCCAGTTTCCACGGGAGGGAGTGTCAGGCAGGGTCATCAGCTGAGCACGGGGAGGAGACAGGGCTGGGGACAGAGGGCGTTCAGGAGAGGTTGTTCTGAAAGTGAGAACGCGGGCTTCCTGGGGAAACAGGCGGGCAGCCAGCAGTGCTTACACACGTGAAGTGCGGTCGCCGATGTCCCCCAGCTAGCTGTTCTGTGCAAGTATGCAGGAGGCAGACAGGAGGGCTCAGCCCGGGTGGGGGCCGGGGGAATGTGAGAAAGGATGGGGAGGGGTGGTGAGCTTTCATGTTGGTGGGGCAAAGGACGCAGGCCAGCTGGGAGACAGCTGAAGCCAAGGCAGACAATGGAGTGATAAAGGTGTGTCACGGGCATCCCAGCAAGGACAGAGTCCTGGGGCCGTGCGGGATATGGAGCACGTGAGCTGGTATCATGTAGAGCTCACATCATGTAGACCATGGGGAATCTGCTGAGGGCACGGTCTTGCTCAGTCTGAGCCTTCTACACCTCCCGTCATTAACCTCTGTGCGGGATACGGAGCACGTGAGCTGGTCTACATGATATGAGCACGTAGTTGGTCTACACGGGGTGCTTGACACTGAGAGCTTAGACACAGTACAGCTTCCGGGCATGGTGAGTCTGGGTGTGACCATGGCAAGGGGCAGTGGAGAAACCCGGGCCCCTCAGGTGAGGGCACACAACAAAGGGCCTAAGGCCCCACCTGGGACCAGCTTGGTCCTTTGTACTGCAGTGCTCACCTGCCCCTGCTGCATCTCTCCCTAGTTGATCAAAACCCATCCCTCTTTCCAGTCTCAGCTTGCTCCCTGCTCACGCCAACTGCATGATGTCCGCTCGCTGCCCTCTCTGGGTGCACAGCCTTAGAGCTACTGTCCACCACAGAGCCTGCCACAGGTCTCACCCGCCCACAGAGGGAATCTGCTGAGGGCACGGTCTTGCTCAGTCTGAGCCCTCTACACCTCCCGTCATTAACCTCCGGCTGATGCTCTGAAAACTGAATGGTAGGATGAATGGATGGATAGATGGTTGGTTGGTTGGTTGGATGGATGAATGGATAGACAGATGGATGTATAGATGGATAGATAGATGGGTGGTTGGGTGGGTGCATGGATGAATGGATAGATGGCTGGCTGGCTGGATGAAGAGCTACCTAAACAGCTGGCCTCCATGCAAGGGCTCCTGAGCTACAAGCATACGTCCTCAGCCGTTCCAGATTATCCCTGCCCCGTTCTCATTCTAGGACTCACCTCGGTCTCCGTATCCGAATACTCCTTGACTCTCTCCACAGCCACAATATTAGACTCCAACTCTGACATCATCCGTATCATCCAGTTCAGAGACACTGTCATCTAGCCAGAGGGACTAGGTTACAGCAGGGCCTCACTCAGCAATAGTTTTGAGAAGAGTTCTATCCTCGATCATGCTTCCGCCAATGAGATCCTACCCTACCTGTGACCCACAGGTGTGTGGACTGAGGCTGTCATCACAACTGTGCCTCAGGCAGTGACAAAGCAGACTTAATTAAAGACTGCCTCACACCTTGTTTCTCAAGCTTGAATATGTTTAAGCCTCCCCAGAGATTCTTGTGAAGATGCAGCTTCTGATTCAGTGGGTCTGGGGGGAGACCTGAAGGTATCCATTCCTAACAAGCTCCCAGAAGATGGTGGGTCCCAGTCCAGGGACCACCCTTTGTGTACCAAGGAGTCTTGGTAGAAATGCAGAATCCTGAGCTCCATCCTAGCCCTGGTGAGTCAGAACGTACGTTTTAACAAGCTCTCTAGGTGGCCCGTGCACATTCATGTTTGAGAAGCCTGGCCTGCCTGGTTTGCCTTTTGTTCAGCTAAGCATTCAAGATTCAAGCCACCTGAGGCGTTAACAATTCATGCTACTTTACAAGAATTCTATTTGCAGTCACGTAAGTCTTTGGCAATATAGGCTGGTGTCAGAATGACCTGCCTCACCAGCAGCTCCTGTCCCCTGATCTATATGTTGTTCCTTGGTAACCAGGGCCCCCCAAGGATTTTAAACCCATAGATGTTCAAGTCTCATATAAAATGGTGTAATGTTTGCATGTAACCTCTGCACACCGTCCTGCGTGCCTCAAATCATGTCTAGATGACTTAGAATACCTGATACAAGGCCTACACCGCCATCCATCTGCACAGTCAGTGCGGTACTTGCTACCGCAAATTTAAGTCTTGCTTTTTAGGGGGAAGTTTTAACATTTTTTTCTCAAATATTTTCCATCTGCAGCTGGTTGAGTCTTTGGATGTAGATCCCACAGACACAAAGAGGAGACAATACTTTCTCCTGTGTGCACAGGAAGTGTACCTCAGCCCTACACTCTCCTGCGGCCAGCCCTCTGTCAGGCTGACCTACATCTTGCTCAGACACAACAAGTTCTGTTTGTCCTTTGGGGCTGACCTCCAAGATTGCTTCTCCAACAGTCCAGAGCAGGGACATTCCCCTGTGTGCTTCAGCGTTTTGCTCCTGCTGGTACAAGGCCTTACCTTTCGCTGTCAGTACAAGTGTCTCCCCACAGCTAACTGAGCTCACGGTGCCTAAGACCAGAATCTGCCCTGTCCCCATATTGAGCAGAAAGGGGTGCCCAGTTGGGGCCCTGCCCACGGACCTGGCCCCCACATACCTGCAGGGCATAGGACACAGACAGGCCCACGAGCCCCGGATTCAGGCTGTTCCTCCCCATCACCGCAAACAGGGCAGCGAAGAGCACCACACAGGTCCCCACAAACTCCACGTTGATGCCCAGCCACCTGCGGGGGGCAGACCGGGAGGAGATGAGACCAGGAGTAGGAAGAGCCCGCTGTTCCTTCAGGCAGAGAGCCGCCAGAAGTCCTGAAGAGGAGGCTACTGACCGGTTGGAGGCGATGAAGGGGTAGCAGCTCCTCTGGTTGGTGTCCACCTTAATGTCATTGAGGACCCTAAAGTCCTCCATGCGGCCGTAGGCCCGGATGACGCTGGTGCCAGACACCGTCTCTGAGAAGTGGGAGTAGATGGGGGAGCGACTGACTGACTCCAGCCGCTTGAGCTGCCGGGATGTGGCCACATAGAAACGCTGATGGGGAAGACAGGAGAGCCTGGGTCAGGGCCCTGGAACCCCCTACTCAGTCCTGCCCGTCCTCCAAGCCATCCGTGCACCCCGGGGGCCTCTACCCAGCCAGCCCCACTCCCCCCACGAGGCTTTGATGCCTTCCCCTTCCTTCCCTCAGGGTTTTAGCATCTTGATTTACATCCTACCCTTTCTCTCTGATCAGCTTCCCCTCTGCCGCATCCTCCACGGAGCCCTCCCTGACCCCCTCTCAGCTCCTGCCTCCCTGGACTGCTCCCCGGGGGATGGGTATGCCCGGATCCCAGCACTGACCTCAGCCTCTTAGCTAGTGAAATTCTTGGCTCCACCTGGGCCCCAGTAATGTACTCAGTCAAATGATTTTGTAAGACTCCCCCCAAAAGGTAATGTTGTATCCTTTTCCTGGAAAAGCCCTTCTGCCTCAGTTGTTTCAGCTCCAGTCCCTCAAAAACATCATTCTTTCTGCAGTTTCTGTCTTCTACCCTGTGGGTCCCCGGATGACAGGAGCTGTCTGGCACTGCCTGGTCATGGTCTGTGCCGCCGGCGGAGCCCACCCTCACTGGTCGCTCCATGGAGGAGCCCAGGGACTGCCAAGCTTGGACAAGCGCTGTAGCTGGATGATAACCGCTCTGGTATGGCACAGACACGTGTGTTTAGATATGTATAAAAAGGAGGGATAGTGCATCCCAAGCTGTTAACATTTTTTTACTAAAAAACAGTGAACAGGAAGGAAACCCAGGGCCAATCACAATTTAGAAGTATGCATTTTATGCTCACACCCACACAACGAGGTAGGTTGTAAGAATCTATCTTTACAGGGGAGTTAAAAGGAATTTTAGCCGGGGATATAGCTCAGGGGCACAAGCGTCTGCCTGGTAAACGCAAGGCCCCGAGTTCTATTACCCTACCAAAAAAAAAAAGGAATTTCAAGGAAGTAAAGTAACTGGCCGCTGTTTCCAACTAATCCAATCCAACCTACACCTGTTCAGGAGCCTACAGAAAGGTCCCGCCCACATTAGAGCCCGCCCACACCAGAACCCCACCCACAACGAGCCCCTGCCACAGCCCCGCCCTCACCAAACCCCGCCCACAACACAGCCCCGCCCACATCACAGCCCCACCCACGCCCCACCCAGGGACCTGCACAAAACCGTAGAACACTGCTAGCGGCAGGACGACCACGATGAAGAGTGGTGTGCTGGCCACGATGATCACCAGGATGGAGAGGGAGTTGTAGAAGGTATTGAACAGCATGAGGATGGTCGGGGCCAGAAGCTCATCGATGACCCAGATGTCCTTGGAGAAGCGGTTGAGGATGCGGCCCGAGGGTGTTGTGTCGTAGAAGGATTGCGGGGATCGCATCTTGTTTTGCAGCAGTGTGTTGTGCAGCAGGCGCGCGGCCTGAACGCCTCCCACCGCCATTGTGAAAGCGGAGAGCATCACCAGGACCCCTGTAGGGACGCAGAAGGCACGGGTCGCCTGGGAGGGAGGCAGGGTGGGCCTGGAGGGGCAGGGGTGTGGCTGTGACTGGCACAGAGCCGAAGGAGAGGAAGGGAGGTGGCCGCTGCGTGGGGGAATTCACCTTGCAGAATTCCCAGGGCAGCGTACACGCCTAGCCTCAGGGAGGTATTGTTCTGCTTCCTATCCATCTTGGCCTCGTTGGCCCAGGCGCTAAGCCACACGTTGGCCCCAATGGCGGCTGCACTTTGGCCAGCGTACAGGAGACAGATAGCCAGTGTGGTGCAGAGGCCCACAGCCTTCGCGTAATCCCAGAACACGCTCAGCTTCACCTGCAGGGAGTGGTGCGGCAGTTCGGGGGGTGGAGGATGCCATGAGCTGCTGGGCCCTGCTCATGTCCGCCCGTGTCCCCCCTGCTCACAGTGCCGGTCTCTGCCGCCTCCTCCTTGGTGAGCATCCCGGTCTCCTTGGCCTTTGCCACCTGCACAGCCTTCTCTGATATACTCTGGTGTCTCCGAGGCACAGGCCGAGCCTGACCTTCCCCGTCTGAAGACATGGAGCTCAGCTGCCTGGGGAAGCAGCAGGTCAGACCCAGGCAGGTGACCCCTGGCACACCACCCCCGACAGGGTCACCTCCCAGGGTGTGAGGGTCAGGGGGATGACCGCCTGCACCCCACTGCCAGGGCCCTGGAGCCCTGCTGCAGCCTTGCGGGGGGCTGGGGACACTCCGGAGCTCACCTCATGAGCTGCTTCTGGACCTCGTACAGGGCCGGCTCAGTGTCTGTCAGTTCTGTGTGGGTGCTGAGCGTGTCCTCAATCAGCAGCACCTCCTCATCCTCATCTCCTGAGGCTGCAGAGGGGAGAGGAGGACACACAGTGCTGCCCACACTCCGCACCCCAACCCCTACTCCAGTGTCATGCTGACTGACAGGTATGAGAAAGGATGAGAGGGTTTCGAAGGACACCCAGAAAGACAGTCCTGGGACTATGGGACTCGAGTGTCAAGGCTGGGACTTGGGCTCTGGCATCAGACAGGCTGAGCTGAGGTCCCACTTCCTAGAGGCGTGACCTTAGGCAGGCACAGGAAAGGAACAATCACGATACCTGGCTCAGGGCATCTCTGTGAGGACCAGAGGGGTAAGGGTGTGGGCCAAGGGCCCTGTGTGGGGCATGGCACTCAGCAAAAGCTCAAGGCAGCGGGCAAAGAGCTCCGAAAAGGCCCTGTGAGCCAACCCAGAGTTTGTGGTTGGGAGCCCTGAAGGGAGATTCTGTTTGCTCACGGTTCTCTGTCTCTTGGTGTCTGGAAGAGTGCCTGGACATAGTCATTGTTCAATAAATCTTGGTTGATAAGTGAATGTTTTTACTGAACACTTGCACATTTGCTAAACAATTTATCCCTAAAGCGGCTTGGCGCCTAAGTCCGTGGACCCTTCTGACAGAAGGAAGACAGACTCTGAGGCCTGAACTGCTGATCAAGGTCTCAATGGGAGAGGTGGAAGTGGGACTTCTCTGCATCCAGTTCACTTTCCTCCTGGTGACACGGTCTGACTGTGCCACAGATGGCCTGGGTTTCCCAGAAGGCCTCTGGTGGGGGAGAGGCTGGCAGGGTGTGGGATTCAGAAGGGCCGGGGCGGAGCATACCCATCCTGCTGTTCTCAAGCGTCTCCTCCTGACCCTCACTGAACGTGTAGTTTCGGAGGAAGTTGGCAAAGCAGCCGTCATGCTGCATTAGGGCTGAGTAGGGGCCCATTTCAGACACCTGCCCGTCGGCCAGCACTATGATGAAGTCCGTCTGGGGCAGGAAGCTGATGCCGTGTGTCACCAGCACCCGAGTCTGCAGAGAAAGCAGCAGGCTCTGGTCTCAGGGCCCTCGGTGTATGCCAAGGGGCAGGGCTGGGGTCACTCCCAACTCACCCTGTGCTCATCGCAGGCTGCTCATCGCCTCTTGGGTGCATGTCCCAGGTCTCACCTGAACCCCTCAACCACCCACCAGTTTCCTGCTAGGGCATAGAGCTTGCCCCGGCCCCTGCCCTGTGGCCTCACCTTGCCTGCCAGCACACCCTCTGGCCCAATCACGTGGTCGAAGATGTGTTTGGCCACGTGGGAATCCACAGCTGACAGTGGGTCATCCAGTAAAAATATGTCAGCGTCACTGTAAACAGCTCGGGCCAGACTGACCCGCTGCCGCTGGCCCCCAGACAGGTTAATGCCCTGGAAGGAGGAAGAGGAGGAGGATGAGGAGAGTGCTAGATCGAGGGGGCAGACAGGCCCAGGGAGACAAGGAACTGTGTAGTCACACAGCAAGGCAGGCCTCTGGATCTACACTTCCTAAGGTGCCCAGCTGTCTGGGAAGCTGAGGGCCACCAAGGAGGGGGTGGTGGCTCTCAGAGTCTTCCTGGACAGCTGAGGCCTCCTTCTCTCTTGCTTTGCCAACCTGCCAGCTGATAGCCCAGGCCAATCCAGGGTCCGTGGACGGATGAATGGCAAGTGGACAATGACGCTTCATACACTGGACAGCACCCAGCCTGGGAAGCATGAGACGCTAGCATATAGCTCATGGACGCACATCGGGGACACTGCACTGTGTGGGAAAAGCCGATCTCAAGCAGGCAAGCTCTGTGCAAGTAGCCAAAGTCTGAGAAGCTGAGGAATGGATGCTGGCAGAGGAGGAAGAGGACAGGAGAGGGACTTCGGTGGGGACAGACTTCCAGTTTGGTAAGATGAAAAGGTTCTGGAGATTGTTGTGTAACCCTGTGAGTGCACATCACGTGACCAAGCTACACGCTGAAAGATGGTGGTAGCTGGGCGTGGTGGCTCATGCCTGTAATCCCAGCATTCGGGAGGGTAGGGCAGGAGTGAGGCCAGCCTGGGCTACAAAGTGAGCTCAAGGCCAGCCTGAACTGCATAGTGAGAGCCTGTCTCCAAAAGACAAAGGAAAAAAAAAGATGGTGGCACGTGTTATGTTGTGTAGACTTTGCCTCAGTTAAAAATAAATTACGGCTGGGCGTGGCGCACGCCTGTAATCCCAGCGCTTGGGAGGCTGAGGCAGGAGGACTATTGGGAGTTCAAGGCCAGCCTAGGCCACAAAGTGAGCTCAATGCCAGCCTGAACTGCACAGCGAGACCTTGTCTCAAAAAGACTAAATAAATAAATAAATAAATAAATAAATTAAGGGGCCAGGTGTGATGGCATATGCCTTTAATCCCAGCACTAGGGTGGCGGAGGCAGGAGGATTTCGGTGAGTTAGAGGTGAGCCCCAGCTCCATAGTGAGTTCAAAGACAAATTGGACTAGACAGTGAGAACCTGCCTCAATAAATAAAGTAAAGTAAAATAAAATAAAATAAAATAAAGTAAATGAAAATTAAGCAGGGCATGGTGGTCCATGCTTGTGATCCTAGCATTCAGGGAGCTAAGGCAGGAAGATTTTGAGTTTGAGGCCAGCCTGGGCTACAAAATAAGTTCAAAGCCAGTCTGGACTACATAGTGAAGCCCTGTTTCAAAAGACAAAACAAGAAATAAGTAGGGAAATAAAGCCAGGTGAGGTGGTGTATGCCTGTAATCTTAGCTATGTGGGAGGCTGAGGCAGAAAAATTGCAAATTTGAGCCAAACCTGGGCAGTTTAGTGAGATCCTGTCTGGAAATTAGGAAAAAAAAAATGCTGAGGTGTAACTCAATGGTAGAGTACTTACCTAACATGCTTGAGGCCCTGAGTTAACCCCCAGCACCATAAACACAACAAAATTACTTAACATGAAATTAATTAATTAAATAAATAATTTTTTAAAAACCTAAGAACTCAAAAAAATAAAAGTAAAAATAGAAACCTAAGAGCTCACATCCCATGTTTTTCAGAGTAAAGGTTAACATCTTAACCAGTCTTTTTCTTTTTTTTTTTTTGTTTGTTTTTTCCGGTACCGGGAATTGAACTCACGACCTCCCGCTTGCCAGGTAAGCGCTGTGCCGCTGAGCTAAATCCCCAGCCCTATTTCTTTTTCTTGAGACAGGGTCTTGCTAAGTAATCCAGGCTGGCCTTGAATTTACAGCAATCCTCCTGCCTCAGCCTCCCGAGTGCTGGGATGACAGGAGTGTGCCACCACACCTGGTTTGACCAAAGTCTTTATGGCTCTGCCTCAACTCATGCCCTCTCCCATTTTCTCACCTCCAGGCAGGGAGAGCATGGGAATACTCATCTAGTCCAGGCCTTCCAATGGCCTTCTGTCACTCTGGCAGCTGGGCACGGTGGCTCATGCCTGTAATCCCTTGGCCTTCTGTCACTCAGTTCAAGTGGCCAGCAAGGCCCTGAATGACTCGGCCGTCTGGCTCCCCTTCTGGGCTCATTTTCTCTTTCTGACCCCTTGCTCGCTCTGCTCCAGCCCTCCTGACCTCCTTGCTGGTCTAGGGCCCTTTCCTCCAGGCCAGGCTCCTGCCTGGGACTTTGATCTTTTCTTCTCAGTCTTGGATGCCCCTAGATATATTTCCATGGCACCAGCCAGGGCTCGATCACCTCAGACGGGGCTCCACGATCCCCAGATGGAGCTCGATGGTCCTATGCAAGGCTCCATTGTTCCTACAAGGGCTTCATCCCTCTCTTTATTCAGGTTTCCCTTTCCTACGCTGCTGTAACAACCCAGCCCTGCTCGTCTTCCTGTGTTCCGGCCTCACTTTATTTCTCCCCTCAGCGTTACCCCATGTATTACTGCTTTACTTACCTCACTTATTGTCTCTCTTCCCCAAAGTATTTATTGGAAGGCAGAGAGTTTAGGCTCTTGAATTTATTACTGTGCAGTGTTATCTGGCTTATAGTAGGTGCTTCAGAGAAATCTAACGGCTGGCTGGCTGGCTGATGAGCATCTCCTCCTCAGTTGTTAAGATTCAGCTCATGGGACGCCCTTCCTCCTGCTGATTTCCCCTCTGCGCCCTCCCTGCTCCCTGCACAGGCCTTCAGCCTGGCTCCAGGGAGTTCTACAACGCCACGGGTTCACGAGTCAGCCTCCCCTGGCCACAGACCTGCTTCCCGGGGCCTGGCACAGAGCCGGGCATGATGTTACATGAATGTGCACCTGGACCAGGCTGAGGCAGGCAGGCCTGCGTGCTGGCTCCTCAGGGAAGGGAAGGGACCCTGTACCTTCTCTCCGATCTCCGTCTGGTCTCCTCCAGGCAGCACCTCCAGGTCCGCGAGCAGGGCGCAGGCCTCCAGAGCCTGCTGGTAGCGCTTAGGGTTCATGGCTCGGCCGAACAGCACGTTTTCCTGAAGCGTGCAGTTCTGGATCCACGCCTGCTGGGGCACGTAGGCCACAGAGCCCTGGCCACAAAAGAAGGTCACTTTGGGGCTTGCCCATGGCCTGACCAAGCCTCAGGCCCTTCCGGGGAGCCCCTAGCCTCTCACTTTCACAGACACCGTGCCTTCCAGCTTCTCCATCTCTCCCAGCAGCGCAGACACCAGCGAGGACTTCCCACAGCCCACGGGCCCCACCACGGCCACCAGAGCCCCTTTCCGGATCTGGATATTGAGGCTGGGAACAAGGAGCCCCGGTCAGAGGCTGGGATCCCATTCGGTCCCCAGGCATGACAGGCAGACCCGACCCTTCCTCCCTCCCAGGTGTCCCCCTGGCAAGAGGGGGCCCTTCCCTTCTCGCACTGCTGGTGGAGCATGGGAAGACAGGGTGGTGCTGCTGACCCGGCCTCCCGCCCACCGTGGGTACCTGTGCAGGGTGGGGGGCAGGTTCTGCGCCCAGGTGAAGGTGCCACCGTGAATAGTGATAGCGTAGCCTGGGAGGACCAAGGTGCACAGGGTCAGGGAGCTCAGGGGAGCGGAAGTGGCGGGGACGGAGGAGGACAGGGGCAGGATCCCTGGGGAAGGGCAGCGAGGATCCCGAAGAGGGAGAGACACTCAGAACAGACGCTGCCCTGGAGTAAGGCCAGGGTGAGGGCGGCCCACGTGGAGGTGTCGAACCTGGGGAGATGTTTTTTCTGTCCACACAATGGGGGTCAAGTTCGTCTTGGCTCAGGAAGTGCTGAATCCGTTTCAGAGACACACTGGCCTGCGTGAGGGTGTAAGTCAGCGCTAGAGGCTGCTTCTCCCAACCCCCACTCCTGCTACCCTTGCTTGGTCCCCAACTCCCTGGGCGAAGCAGGGCCGTCCCTCCACCACCACCAAGGGCCCACTCCGGGCTGCCAGGGCCCCTCCCACGACCCAGTCCTCCATGGCTCCCACTTGTCAGAGATGAGGCCCTAGCTGGGACTCAGAGGCTGTCTCCAGAGGACCGTGTTAGCCTCCCCCGACTCCAGGAACTCTCACTGACCATCTCCTGACCCTAAGCGACCCGTTCATGACCTTACCTCCTGCCCTAACTCTAGTGGAAGCCCAGCCCTGCCCCGGGTTACCTGGGTCAGGTTACTGATTAACTGGGGCAGCATGTTGAGGGGCATCTTTAAGATATTGAACAGGGATATGGACACAAAGGCCTTCTCAGCGTCTAGCACATTGTTCTGGTCCACACACACGAACACCCCGAGGGTGATCAGGCTCACCTGGGGAGCGTGGGAGTGGGTGTCAGGTGGGGCCTGCGCTGGCCAGGCAGGAGGCAGGAGCCCAGCCCCAGCAGCAGGCTTACCAGGAAAGGCGTGCAGACCCAGGTGAAGGTGGAGATGGCTTTGAGGTAGGTGCCCTTGCGCAGCAGCTGGAGCTCACCCTGCCTGATGCCCTCCACCTGCTCCAGGAAGCTGGGCTCCCAGGCGTACAGCTTCAGCACTTTCATGCCTCCCAAGATCTCGGTCATCAGTTTGGTACGCGAGTCCTTCAGCTTCATCTGCTCTACCTGTGCAGTGCAGCGAGCGGCGTGACACCTCCGGTCCCCTCCCCCGAGCTCCTACCCAAGGTTTACGCTGCCCACACCTTCATGTGCTGCGGCCAGCACTGCATGCCATTCCCCTGCTGCCTCTGCCCCCCTGCCAGGCCTGAGGTGCCCCCCACACCCCCTCCCTGCATCCTCTGCCTGGGAAACCCAGCTCCACTCAGCGCCACCATTGCTGACCGTCCCAGGCAGCGTCCTCGGTCCCCTCACCTGGGTTCTTAAAGCACACTGTGCTTCCCTTAGTTCCCATCGCCGTCCCTGTCCATAGCCCCGGTTAGACTGAGAGCTTCCTAAAGGTGTGGATTGCTCGTGTCTGCGTTCCCTCAGCCCCTAACCCGACGTGCATGCGTGCGGGGCCTCACATTAATGTATCCATTGAACTCTGGTACTGAGAGCCTACTCTGCCTCCCACAGCTGACGGTTGGGTGGGGGAGGCAGGTAGTGAGAAATAATTACCCAATAAATACTTAATCACAAACTGTGATGGGTACTCTAAAGGGAAATAAGAGGGTGCTGTGCAAGAGCAGTGGGGTATGGCGGGGTACCCGGTGGACATCTGGAGGAAGCCAGCAAACGTCAAGGTGAGGAAGGAAAGGCTGTAGGCCCTCAGGGGTGAAGAGTGTGAGACAGAGGGGACGGTGTGTGTGGCGGCCCAGAGGAACACAGAACTGATGGCGCACGCCTGTAAGCCCAGCACTTGGCTGAGGCAGGAAGATTGCTGTGAGCTGGAGGCTAGCCTAAGCTACATGGGGAGTTCAGCGCCAGCCTGAACTATATAGCACGACCCTGTCTCAAAAAAACAAAACAAAACAAACAGAGGTACACAGAACTTAGTTGCTGGAGAAAAGAGAGAGGGCCAGCTGAAACTTGTCCATAGCATGGGGATGAGGACTTCAAGGTCGGGGGGAACCCAGTGGGAGGTCTTAGGGTGTTGGTCTTTTATTCTACATGCAGTGCAAAGCTGCCCAGGACGTCTGTAAGTGTTTGCAAGTAGACTCAATGATTGGCCATCTATGTCCCAGCATGGTAAGAAAAGTTCTCATTAGGCCCAGGTTCAAGTCCCGGCACTGCCGCACTCTGGACTGCGGTAATCTCCCCAGTCCTTGGTCTATGGGGAGGGTAGAGGAGCTAAGCTTTGTGCAAATGACTTGTGGAAGCCCACACTGGGAAGCAAGGAGGTGAAGAGGCCCCTGGGCACCTGACCGGATGCTCCTGGCAGGAGCAGCTCGCCTCGGACAGCACCCACCTGGTAAGTGCGCATCTTCATGGCCACGGCGCTGTTGAGTGGGATCATCAAGACCAGGAGCGCCACACCAGCCAGGACAGAGGGACCCAGGATCTGAGGAGGCACAGGGCAGTCGATAAGACCGATGGACAGATAACCCAACTCGACAGGCAGAACCCAACAGAGACCTGAGACATGACAGACAGGAAGCGAAGACGTAAGTCAGCCAGACAGGACAGAAAACCAGAACGACTGTGACATGGGCAGGGGCAGCAGCTGTCAGATAACGATGACAGACAGCAGACTTAGAAGCCTGTCAGGACACACTGGAAGGCAATGCAAGCAGACAGACAATGGAGCCACGCCCATGCTACTTCTAAGCCCCACGGCCCCCAGCTTTTGGAGGAGGGGGTCACGGCACAGGCAGGAAAGGCTCAGTTGCAGATGCCAGTAGCCAAGTCCCTAGCGAAGCTCTCCTGTGTGAGACCCAGACTGACCCCCTCTTGTCCCTTCTGCAGCAGAAGAGCTGGGTTAAGGCTGCGGAGTCACCTGCCAGAGGAAGTAGATGGCCAGGATGACCTGCAGCGGGGTTGACCACAGCAGGCTGAGGAAGGGGAAGACGTCCATGAAGCGCTGAGCATCCACCGACATGAGGTTGACCATTTCTCCCACCGTGGACTCACGTCTGACGGAATTGGCAATGAGCAGCGCCTGCAGGGAGCAGCACAGGTTGGCGTGTCCTGAACTGCCCCAGGGGAGCCTCAGTGCTGCGCCCGGTTGCCACTCACCTTCCTGTAGATGACGCCAATGACCCCCGTGCGGATCCTCAGGGCGGACACGAAGATGCAGTGGTAATACTGGTGCAAGACCAGGGTCTGCATGATGGCACTGACAAACATCAGTCCGGCCAGCAGAAAGCCCCACCAGGAGGGGGCCTCGGGGTTGGAAATAAACCGGATCAGCATGCTGCAGGGGCGGATGTGGCGGGGGACGGGGAGTGAGGCGGGCGCCCCGGGCCTTCCCCACCCTCTCCCTTTACCCCCTACCTGGGCCAGGACATCGGATCTCAAGGTCCCCTTCCCTGTGCCCATGGGCCCCGCTGCCCGGCCCTCTGTTACTCTCACTACCAGCGCCCCCTCCTTTCTTTCTTCCTTTTTCCCCTCAGAATTGGGGATTGAAACCAGGACCTTTACATGCAGCTATGTCCTCAGCCTTCTAAAAATATGTTCTCCTGTGAGATAGGACCTTGCTAAGTTGCCCAGGCAGGACTTAAACTCGCAATATTCCTGCCTCAACCTCCCAGAACGCTGGGGTCATAGGTGGGTGCCAATACTCCTGGCCACCCGTCACCGCCTTGAGCCACGTGGCAGGAAGCAGTGCCACATTGTTGGAATAGGCCTTCCTGCGCTGTAGAAGGTTCTCACTCCTCAAATCCATCCTTCCGACCTTCTGGGCCCTAGTCCGCCTCCTCTTCTTGGCCATCTTCTGCCCTCTTCTCCCACCTTCAGACCCTAACCCTGCCCTTCTGGGCAGCTCTCCGTCTTCCAATTTAACCGCTCCCTGTCACCCACAAACTTCCCTCCATACCCCTGAACACGGCCTTTGCTCCTGCCTTGGAAGAGGGGGTGTCCCTCCAGCTCCGCAGGCCTGATCTTGCCTCCTTAAGCCCTGGGTGTGTGATCCTCAATAGCCTGCCCTCTCCAGGTGGCTCTCTCCAGGGCGGGGCCAACCTTCCCCTGGGGCACAGGGAGCCTGCCAGCCATCCCAGAGCCAGGTCTCCCCTTCTTAGGGCTGGAGTGCGTCTCCCAAAATGTTCAGAGCCTGACCCTGTGCCTACAAAGGTGGCCTCACTGGGACCCAGGGCCTGGCAGTTGTAGCTAAGTGGAGTCACACAGGAATGGGTGTCTGCACCACAGAGAAGGCCGCGTGATGGCAGAGGCAGAGGTGGGAGGGAGGGGCACCGCTACAGAGGAGGAAAGCCAGGACTGCCGGCAGCAGCAGACACCTGGGGAGAGGCCTGCGACAGACCCTCATCCACAACCTCCAGAAACCCCTGGCCAGGCCCACACTTGGTTTTGGATCTCTGGCCTCCAGAATTTCAGGAATGCATTTCTGTTATTTTGAGCCATTGGTTGGTGCTAATGTACTGGGGCAGCTGTGCAAACTGCACCTCTCTTTCCGTCGGCTTTCTGCAGGTCTGTGCCCCTGGCCACACTGCGGGCGGCCCCGTCCCCTCACCCAGCCTTCGTCCTCAGCAGTCACCAACCAGCTCCTTGTTGCCTTCTGCAGGATATAGCTTGGGGGCCAGCTTTCTGCACTGGGGCCTGTGCTCTGCCCCACGCCCCAGCTTCCGTGCACAGCTCTGGCCCCTCCAGGCCATCCAGGCCTCTCCCTGTACCAGTCAGGATCCCTGGGGCTCCGCTGGGCTCCTCCTGCCTCCTTCCATGGGCTCTGCAGGAGAGCTGAGCCCCAGACTCAGGTAATGGCTCTGCTGATATGATCTCCAGCTAGCTGGGAATCTGTGCCCAGCAGCACCTCTGGCCCTACATGGCCAGAACTCAGCCCACCCTCTTACCCCATGCCCAGCCTCTGCCTCCTTCTGCCGAGCTCATCATCCAGTGAAAAAGGTCCCATGTCCTCCAGGTACCTAGGCTGAACCCAGCTTGCCTGTGACTCCCCCTAGCCCCGCACACATCCATCTTCCTGTTAACTTCTAAATCCCAGTCCTGCCTGCACACCCATCTGACCTGCTTGGCCCACTTCCACCCAGCGGCCCTGCCCTACACTTCCCACATTGCTGGCAGTGCCACCCTTTTGAAATGCAAACCAGCTGCCCTTCCCTGGCTGCCCTTCCTGCCAGGCCCGCCTTGGCGCCCCCTCTGCTTCCTGCCCCTCCCTGTGTGCCTTTTGCTCCAAAGGGAGTGAGGGCCACATGGAGTCCTAAGTTATCCTGAGTCAGCCCTTTCCCTCCTCCTCCACCTACCTACCTGTGCCTCCAGGCCTCACAAACTCCTGAGCTGGTAAGGGGCCCTGCTGTCCCAGGCTGCCTTCCTGGCCCTTCCCCGGGTTTTCCAGACACCTGGCACACCTCTCTCCCACCAATTCTAATTGAATTCTGCTTGGTTTCTCCCACAAGATCTGAAGACCCGGTCTTATTATCTCCGTATCCCTGGTGTCTAACAGCATTCTGGCCCCTGGGGGCATATTAAATGTTTGCTGAATGAATGAATGAATGAATGTGCACGTGGACGGCAAGGGGCTGGGGGCTCAGCTTCGAGGCCATTCCCCACACCGTCCTGTCCTCGGAGAGCGCCTCCTAGTCCAAGCTCTTGTGTGGCGAATAACAGAGCCCAGTGGCGGTGGAAGGAACAGCGTGGCTGGAATTCAGACCCGTGCGCTCAGATCTGATTCCTGTTTGTCACCTGTGTGCCCCTGGCCAAGTCTCTTCACCTGTCTGCACTGGGGGTCTGCTGCAGCCTTTGTAAAACAGGAATGAGCTATGCAGAGGAGGCGTGCAAGGAACCTGAGCTTGCTCCGCAGTGTGCGCCCCCAACCTAAGTGGAATGTCCATGGGAAACAGAGGCAGTGCCGCTTGCTGAGGGTCACACAGGAAGCAGGGACAGGCTAGGCTTCCTCTTCCTGTCTGTTGTTCCTCACCCCGGCCCAGCCCCAGGGGCAGCACCAGGGGGGCGGTGGAGACCTGAGCAGCTGCGGGTTGACGAAGGAGAGCAGGTCCTCCATCAGCTTGAAGCAGTTGCTGATGAGCAAGCTGGAGCTGAAGGTGGTCACCAGGGCCCACAGGAAGGAGGGCTTCCGGGCCCGGGGCCGGGTCCCCAGCAGCGCCTCATCCTCAGTGGAGACTTTCTTCCCAAGCATTTCTGCAGCTTTGGGTCTGGTTGGGAAAGAAGGAGCAGGGGAGGAATGGGCACTGGGCCTGTGAGTCCAAGGGCCAGGCCGGCTGGCTGGGCAGAGGAAGGGGAGCAAGAGGACGTGGGGGGCCGTCGCCTCGGGGCCCTCAGAATGGGGACGGGGACAGACAGTGCGAGGATTCCCAGGCAACTCCGTGGGAAGCTCCCGGAGGGTTTCTAGGGGTGGACAGACCACTGCTCTCCCCAGCCTCTGGCCCTCCTGGCCTCCCTGGGGTGGCTCCAGGGAGAATGCGAAGGAGACACGGAGGCCAGCGGCCTGGTCTCCGGGCAGTGGATCAGGGACAAGTGGAGAAGGCACGGGGGGACAGGCCGGGGGTGCAGCGGGGAGAGGGCGGCACAGGCCTTCCCAGTGGCCCCAGGCCGTGGAAGCCAAGGTGCTGCCGCCCAAGTCCAAGTCCAAATCCTTGGTTCCTCCAATAGCCCGTGGCCAGCACGAGGCGCTGGGCTGCGTAAGCCTTGCCTGCTCGGCCGGGCTGTGGGCGGGGAGCCTCCCTCTGGGCTCTCTTTGCTGGGCAGTTGGCTGGGGACAGGTCTGGGATCTAGGACGTGAGGCCAGCAGGGCAGAGGGCCCTCGGCTGGAGAGGCCTCCGGACAGGAGGGGACAGGAGGGAGGGCTGGGCTCAGGCAGGGGAGAGCAACAGTAGGAACAGGACCTCTGGGCCAGAGGGCAGGACATGGATTCCAGCTCCGCCACCGCCAGCTGGGGACACCATTAGACCTCTGGTACCTCAGCGTCCCCCTGTGTATCCCAGGGACAGTGGAACTGGCACTCTGGGCTGTGAGAGATTCAGCGTGTTAATCTAAGTCCCAAGGACAACGCCTCGGACAATGCCTTGTCAGCTGCTGTCAGTAGCCAGGGGTGTCCTGAGGAGCCAGAGGGGTGAGGACAGGGCGCGGGGACCAGGGAAGGCCGCACCTTGCTGTTTGTCTTTCCTGCTTCTGCCACGCCTCCAGCAGCCGCTGCACCACTCGGCGGGAACAGTCCTCCTCGTTCAGCGACCAGAGGTCCTGCTGTTCCAGGGGACGCCGGTAGCCCAGGATGGCCAGCCTGGGCGGGGGAGAGGACAGGAAACCCCTCATAGGCTCAGAATTTAGTAACTGAAACATAGCCAGGGTCTCGAGCCCCAAGGTGTCCAGAAAGGGAGGGTCTTCCTCACGTGCTCCGAGAAAGGGAGGCGTCTCTAGCGTCCCCACGGGAGACGGGTTGCAGGTTGCTGTCCCTCCCTTCCCCTCTCCGCTCCATCTGTCCCCGGGGCCTGGTGATAAGATCTTTGCTCGGTGAGCTTGGGTGAGACATTCAGCCCGGCCTCAGGTGTTTCCCTGTGCCGCACGGTTAACGAGTTGTCACCAGGTCACAGACACAATTATCCTGCTCAAGCCACTCTGAGGGGCAGCCAAGGAGATGACAGGCTGCAAGCATCTCCCAGACAGAAGAGCTCAGTACAAATCAGGGTCCCCTCCCATCCCCCGGGATGCATCTGCTGCTGCCAGATGCAGGGTTGGCTTCCAGCCCACGAGCATAGCCGGGCCAGGCCTACACTCTGTACTCAGCCCGGGGCCCTGATATCGCCATCTTGCCCAGCAGTGGCCCTGGGGTGGGGACATGAGCCAGGCCATCTCCTCAGGTTCCTGGGCTCTGGCCTGTCCTTCCTCTCCTGCATCTCTCCCTCCCTGTGGTCCAGGCAGGAGCAAGAGGCAGCTCACCTTGTGAACCAAAAGAAAGTCAGGCGTGACAGGAAGCCAGCACTGGCCTCTGGGCAGGGGTTCTAGAAGCAAGAGAATGGGATGGGGGATCAGGGGTGTCCCCCAGCCCCTCAGAGTGTATTAGGGGAAGGGAGGGCCTCACCACTTCCTGCTCCCAGCCTCAGTTTACGGCCTGTGGCCCTCTTTTCGGAGGGATGGGGGCTGCTGGGCTGGGCTGGGTCCAGGAGCAGGCTACGGAGCCCCTCGTACCCTCCAGGACAAACTCACAGGGTCCTCACTCTTCGGGGAGAAAAGTGGCGGCTTCTCTCTGAAGCAGGACAGGATGAGAGCAGACAGCACCAGGGCAAAGTAGATGTAGAAGGTGCTGAAGCGGAAGGGGTCTGAGATGGTCCCCTGCGGGGAGAGTAGAAGACGTCGGGAAGCTCAGAGGCTCTGCCTGCAGCCCCTGCCCTAGGGAGCCCCTTCTTGGGGGCGGGAGGCTTTTCTGGGCTTCTCTGGGTTGGGAGGCAGCCCTGGAGGTCCTCAGGGCCCTCATCTAGAGGGTTCTGTAGGGCAGGGAAGGATCATGGGGGCTGTGGCCAGGTAAGGACTCGCCCAGCACCAGGCCTCTGTCAGCACTTGCCCTACGTTACCCGTGTGCCAGGCTACAGCCTGCAGCCAGGGAAGCTTATTCCCTGCAAATTCTGCAGTGAGGATGCACGATTGTGAAGGGTTAAGCGCCATGCCAAGAGCCTGCAGGGGTTGGGGCGGTTTGGAGAGAATGGGGGTCACAGCCCCCCACCATCAGGAGCAGAAGGAAGGCCAGGCGATGAGGAAGGAGAACCCGGCAGCAGAATCCCGGGGAAGCTGGAGCTCTTTATGCACAGGCAAGACACAGACACCCCAGGCAGACACTGCACTGGGGGCGGCGGTGGGGGCGGGGTGCCTTCTGTATCCCCAAGAGCGTCCAACAGCGCAGCATCTCTGACCCGTCTCCGCGGTTCCCCGGGGCCCTCCAGCCTGCCTCCCCGCCGCGCTGCAGCCATTGAGAAGCAACGCAACTGCTGAACGCAGGAGGCCCTGGGAGCCAGCAGTGACCTCAGCACGGAGCTCACCCCTGCAGGGGCCCCGCCCCCAGCACTCACCTCTGCCAAGGCTGAAAGGATCTTAGAGCGGAAGGGGACAATGGCGCAGACCATGCACAGGAACCAGAAGATGATGAGGACCCCCGAGGACTGCACCCCGCGTAGTCGCTCGTACTGGATCAGCAGGGTGGCCAGCACCTGCGTGGGGAGGGCAGGGAGGCTGGGCCGGAGCGTGCACACCTGGACCCACACATCTGGATGTGCCTCTGTGCCTCTCCACCCCACACGGCTTCCGGAGTTACCCCGTCCTCTTCCGGAGGTGTCCCGCCTTCTCCTCAGAGCCCACAGGTGTCCCACCACAATCCACAGCCCACAGGCTCCACCCCACCCCGCTTCCGGGGCCCCACACTGACCATGGTGATCCCCACCACCAAGGGGGTGACAAAGAAGATGGGGGCAGGGGCTCTGCCGTGGACCAGGCTGTGGAAGGAGTAGAAGAGGTCCGCCCACGAGACACACCACAGCAGGACGGCCAGGGCCTGTGAACAGGGCACAGGTTGGGACCGGTCCCTAGAGGCGAGACAATCTCTGCTGGGGACGGGCTTTGCTCCTGAAGCCATCAGAAGCCACCAAACGTGCTTAGACCTGGCCTGGGTCTGGAAGCGGCTCTGGGCAGAAGCTCCCTGGGGCGGGCTGGGTGGGAAGCTCCACTGGGGGAGAACATGAAGTAACTTCTCCAGGCGGGGAACGTGTTTTGGCTGGCTGCAGACACAGGACTGTGGGGCAGGTGGGGTGGGGGACCCAGTCCAGCCATTGGGCGGGGGGTTGGGGGGTCTCAGGCCCACTCCGAGGACAGCCCCAAGCCCTGACCGTCTTGAGCCTGGACAGGTGGGAGAGGACGATGTAGCCATGGTGGTGGTGCCTCAGGTAGAGCAGGTAGCAGGGCAGGGCAGCCCACAGGTAGATGCAGGGCACCCAGGCCAGCAGCGAGTTCTGGAAGCAGGGAGTGAGGTCTGGGTTGTCCGTGTACACGGACAGGTTGGAGTCCTGGAGACAAAGAGGACAAGTCAGCGAGGTGGCAGCCCCCTGGGGAGTTGGTCTGATCTTCAGGAAGGCGGCTGCACCAGGAAGGTGCTCTGTCCATGGAAGTGGGGTGCAGTGGAGGACAGGCGGGGGTGAGAGGCCTGAGTACGTACATAGTGTGATTGGAAAGCAGAGGGAAGGTTTAAATGAAAAGATTCATTATAGTGAGACACATTATCAGGAGTCCCCCTCAAAACATCCCCCCTCACTTCACTTATCCCACTGTTCTTGCCACTTTCTGGAGCAGTTCTGGAAGTCCTCTTTCCTGAATGTCTTTAGCTGCCCTGTCTTGTCCTAAATCATTTCAAAAATATTTACTTTTCATAATCATTTTGACTTTGTGGAAGAGCTAGAAGTTGCACAGTGTCAGCTCTCATGAGTAAGGCAGGTGAGAACACACCACAGTGTTTTAACAAGCCTGCTTTGTCGCTGGATGGCTCTTGGCAGTAGCATTCTCTGTATTTTTGATCACACCTTGTAAAGACCCTCAGGAAAGAGGACTTCCAGAACTGTGTTAGAAAGTGGCAAGAACCATGGGATAAGTATGTTTGAAGCAGGGGAAAGATTTTGAGGGGAATTAACAGCGATGTGTCTTTTTGTTTTGTTTTTTGAGACAGGGTTTCACTATGTAGTTCAGGCTGGCCTTGAACTCACCAAGTAGTCCAGGCTGGCCTTGAACTCACAGTGATCCTCCTGCCTCAGCCTCCCGAGTGCTGGGATTATAGGCATGTGCCACCAGGCCCAGCTAGCAATGTGTCTTTTACTGTAATGAATGTTTTAATTTAAACACACACTATTTTGCTCATACCGTGTACATGAGCAGGTGATCAAGCGTAGGCCAGGCATGAGTCCCCAGGGAGTGGTGCTGACTCTTACTTTCTCAGATGCTTTCTCTCCCTCTAATTGAGGTGTACTTTAAGTGCAATAAGCCACACCCCTTTAAAGTGTCCAATTCAATGAGTTTGACAGTTGTATATACCCACAAAACCACGCTCACAATAAAGACGTACAATATCCCCATCCCTTGCACTCCGCTGAGCGCAGCCTCTCCCAGGCTTACTTGCTTTCTGCCATTCTAGATTTCCACTCTCTTTTTTACTTCTCATTATTACATTTTTAGTGAATAATTGGGGCAGTCCACAAACAACATAAGCACTCTTTTGGTTTTTCTCCGGTACCGGGAATCAAACTCACGACCTTGCGCTTGCCAGGCAGGCGCTTTGCCACTGAGCTAAATCCCCAGCCCCCCACTCTCTTTTTTAACAAAATTAAATTTTATTTTATCAATGTGACACGCACACAGTTTCGGAGTCTCCCGCCTCTGTAAGTCTCTCCCAGCCGAGGGACAAGAAGCTTCCCTGGGCTTTTTCACCTTGGTTTGCTCTAAGATAAGAGTGGCCACGCCCTGCCCATCGTCCTTGCTGGGCGGCTTGAGACTCACACATGTGGAGAGCTCTTTGCAGATTATAAAGTCCAGGGTCACTGGCCATCCCTGACGGAGCAAGAATGTCCTGGAAACTGGTCTGTCCTAGGTAAGGGATGGTTGGTCACATGACTGGCTCGTCCCTTGCCTCATCCTATAATTGCACCGGAAAACTTTTTTGGAAAGAGACGGGAGGAAAAAATTAATTCCTAAACATGTTGTACTGAGATTCCTTCCTCCAAAGCTGCCAATGCTACCAGTCTTTTTCCTTCCCTCTTCTTGCAAAGCATTAGCTGTTCTTCATAGAAAGCTCAGAAAATATAAACAAATAACAAGAAAACCACCCACAATCCCATCCACCTAAAGACAACTGTTGCCTGAGGATATAACCATTTACCTTCTAATTGCCAATTTAAATCTCTCATTTTATTTTTTTATCCAGCTCATTTTATTTTTTTATCCAACATAAACCTGCTTTTCCTTTTTTCTTTCTCTGATGCTTTGGTTTGGTTTCTGTTACTCTTCAGGGGTTTTCCTCAAATGTGTGGAGGCTATGGGGGCTTGGTTGTCTAATTTCTTTTTCTTTTGTCTTTTCAAGACAGGGTCTCGCTATGCAGTTCAGACTGGCCTTGAGCTCACTTTGTAGCCCAGACTGGTCTCAAACTCACAATGATCCTCCTGCCTCAGCCTCCTGAGTACTGAGATTACAGGCATGCACCACCACGCCTGGCTTTGTCTACCTTTTTTTTGCCCTCGGTACTGGGGATTGAACCCAAAGCCCTTCCCATGCTAGCCAAGCACTCTACCATTAAGCCATATCCCCAGCCCTTTTTATTCTTTATTTATTTGTTGTTGCAGTGGTGGGAATTAAATTCAGGGCCTTGCACATGCTAGGCAGGCACTCTACCATTATTTTTTACTTTAAGACAAGGTCTTGCGGGGCTGGGGATTTAGTTCAGCAGCACAGCGCCTGCCTGGCAAGCGCAAGGTTGTGAGTTCGATTCCCGGAAACAAAACAAAACAAGACAAGGTCTTGCTAAGTTGCCCCATCTGGCCTTGACTTTGTGATCCTCTTGCCTCAGCCTCCCAAGTATCTAACTTTATAGCCATGCATCAGTATTTTTGATTGAGCCACCACAGAGCTGATGGACACCTTGTGAGTTGGGAAGGGGTTTGATAGCGAGGGCTTTGCTGTAGAGGGATCCGGGAGGAGCCTGGTCACTTCGGAGCCCTTGCAGCTGGCAGCCTCTGGGGCTCGACCCTTCAGTGCAGGCTTGGCCTATCCCTCAGAATCTGCTCCTCCCGTCCTGTCTCAGAATCCCCATTCCTTGCCGAGCATCCTTTGCTGTCTCCTTCCTGTTCTTCCCAGCGGACCCTGTGCAACCTGCCCCGGCCCCGGGTTCTGACCTCGGCCCTGTGCCCTCCACCCCATGGCTGCTCACAGACGGTACTGAAGAAGCCCAAAGCCACACCAGCAGCTCAGCCCCCTCCGAGCCTCGGCCCCCTTCCTGCTGTCTCTCAGACGGCTCCCATCTGTCCTCGCCACCCCGTGCTCAACTCTTCCGTGCCCTGCCGGCACCAGCCAAGCTCCGGGGCCCCGGGGGCCATGGGGACACGAGGTCCCGGGGGCTCTTAGGGGAGGAACGGCCACTGGATGGCAATTGGAGTGCTGGCTTCTCCTCTCTGTGCCTCGTGACCTCGGGCAAGGCGCTTAATGTCTCCCTCTCTGGGCCCTGGGCTCTGCAGCACTCCTGTAGGGGACAGCGACTCTTAGCATATCATTTTAAGATAGAATAATTCTAGTCTTAATGCAAGCCTCAAAGTGTGTCTTGAAAAACATCCCGGAGGGTTGTAAAGAGTTCACTTTGCAGTTCTGACTTAGCCCTGGAATGCTTCTCCAAAGACAAAGAACGCCGGGGCCTAGATAACCACCTATGACCTTGTCTGGGTTGTTTCATCCTTTTCCTGGCCCTAGATAAAATTATAACCATAAAGGAAATGTATGGTTATCTAAAGGGGGACATATAGAACAGAGTACAGAAAGTATATATCATTGTGGTCGGGCTCATGACTGGAGCCTGACCAGGTTACATGGCATGAGGAAAAAACGTGTGGCCAGGACTACAGCATGCCAATCTATTACCATGGAAACCAAAAATGTATATAAGCTGGGAGCAAAGGCAGGCCCCTCGCCCACTTCCCGGATTGGAAAATGGAAGGAAAGGTGGCTAGCCTCAAATTAAAGTTCTGCTTGTTCTGAATAGAGTCTTTTCGGTTTCTCGTGGACTACAACCCGAATTCTGCCGTTACACCCCCGCCAGTCACCTGTCCGGTCCTGTTCTTGCACCTTTGCAAGCAGTGGCCACAGGGCGCTGGTCTGTTCCCTTCCAATGCCCGAGACCTGGATCCTGGCCTTGTCCTTCCTCCGGGTGCCCCTTTGGTGTGAGAGTGTCCAGGGTGCAGTCCCCCCTCCCACTTTCTCTAGCTGCACTCCCCGCCTCGGCCTCTCCCAGCCTCAAAGGACAATTCCACTCATCTGCCAACCACTTCCAAGTCTGTCTCGCCAGCCCCCCACCCCTCGAATCCCCAGTGCTACATCCAGCTGCTGGGCAGACATCTCCAGTCCACATGTCTTTTCTTAGTCTACAAGGACCTGCACGGTGTCCTTCCAAGGTCCCTCTCTCTCTCTGCCTCGCCTGCCTCTCTGGAGCCCTGGCCTTGTAGCCACTCCTGAGCACACTCCAAGCACACTCTGCCACAGGGCCTTTGCATGTTCTGTCCTCTTCCTGGAACACTTTCCACACACCCCTGCCTCTCTGACACCTCTTAATCCTGCCACCTGCACCCCAGCCCCCCAACCTCCTCTGCTGTTTTTCCTTATACCACCTGCCACTGAACATGCTCTATAATTCACTTGTTTATTACTATGTTTTCTTTCATCTTTTCCTGGTGATATGGATTATCCTTGAAGGAAAGAACCTTTATTTCATTTATTGATACATCCTAATTACCTAGAATGGTGCCCGGCACCACTGGGATAGTTGCTTAAACAAGTTAAATGAAATAGTTACAGAAAAAATGAACAAGTTATAAAAGGATAATAATATGGCTTGCCTCTAAAGGTTTAGTGGTTCCTGACTGCCTAGAAGGTAAAGTCCAAGGGTCTCAGTGTGGCGTTCAAAGCCTCTGTCTGGCTTTGAATAACTGACCTTTGTGAACTATGGAATGCTCTGGGTTTGAATTCTCCATTTTAGTGAAATAGCGCAAGAGGGAACTGGTCTCCTGCACACCCTGGTTCTTTTTTTTTTTTTTTAAATAATATTACTAGAGATTGAACCCAGGGCCTTTGCACTGAGCCACAACCCCAACTCTTTGATATTTTAAAATTTTGAGACAGGGTCTCACTAAGTTGCCCAAGCTGAGCTTGGACTTGTGATCCTCCTGCCTCAGCCTCCTGGAGTTCTGAGGTCGTAGACCTGTATCACCAGACCCTGCTGGGGATGTCTCTTTCTGAAAGATGGCTTTATGTCCCTTGCTACAT